TATACCTGCAACTCAATTTTTATTAACCTTATGCATATTTTTTATAGATATAAGATTTTAAAAATTTCACTAAATAGTACTAACCTGTGAGTAACAAAAGACTCTTCTTCATTGCATTTGGCACAAAAGTATTTATTTTCAACTTTTTCCACCTTTCGACTACACTTGTTGCATGCCAAGTATGACCATCCCCGGTCAAGTTCCAAATTAACCAATTTTGCCGCAATCCAATAGCTGGATTCCTATTGAGTAAAAAATAAAGAATTATTGTAAATGAAAAACAGATAACATAAGGTAAATATAATTGAGAAAGTAAATTAAACTCACTTGCGTGCACTGAACTAAATCCCTAATAGTTTTAAACAGTACAATTCCTTTGTCTAACTCATCTGTAACAGAGTAACTTTGTTGAGAACTTGTTCGAGTGATTCGCTCAATGTTTGATTGACGTGCTGCAAGTAATCTGCATAAGTCAAAAATTGTAATTTATAAATACTATTGTTATATTTCTGTACATATAGAAAAGGATTATAAACTTCACAAACCTGGATTTAAATTCAATAGACTGCGGCAACGTAGAATTTATCCATATCTTTGTCTGATACCAACAGCTACGCACTGAGTAATTACCTGTGTGTCAAATGAAATATGAATAAAAATTTGAAATTTAAAATTATTTATACAGTAAAATAAAAAAATACATGTAATTTATGGTAAACCTCGATATTTTTGAGGTTTCATATGCTGGAAAACAACAATCAAAGGCTCATCGGCAGATTCATTCAAGTGATGTTGAATTTGATCCACAAGTTCGCTCCATAATGTTGCCATAATCCTGTTCCTCCTATACGTTTCAAGGTAAGGTTAATAAACACATATATATGTAATCTATCAATAAAGTATTTTTCTATTTTAAAAGTACTTACTGATCATCTTCGAGTACAACATTAATAAGAAAACTTTGGTCGTCTCCCTGATTGTAGGTCTTAACATCTTCATAGGTCACAACCTGACCAACAACATCTATAGATATAAAAGTTAGTGACATACTTTAAAAAATAACATTTTTAACTTCATTTAAAATTTAAAAAAATATTACCGAGTAATTCTGTCTCATCGACATCATGTTCATTTTTTAGTTGGTGAAAAGGGCGCAAGTTAAAGATGTTCATATGAAATGAAGGATCATTTGTTTCCT